CCCACCCCCTTTCCAACCCTACCACCCCCCACGTCAGTGGGTCCCTCATTTTTTTATGGAGTCAAAAGCTTATAAAATCCCACCTCAATATAATTTCTGCAAAAAGCCGGCTTTGATTCTCAATACCACTACCACCAAAGCCAAAAAAACTTCCATTATAGTTTCCACCCTCTTACTACAACAACAACTAATACTACATACTACTTCAAAAAAAGAAGTTGTTTTAGTTTCTTGGTTTAGTTTTTCAATTATTAAGCCAAGGAAATTAAAGAGGAAAACCGGTCATGGGAAGGTCACCGTGTTGTGAAAAAGCACATACAAATAAAGGAGCATGGACTAAAGAAGAAGATGAAAGGCTAATTGCTTATATTAGAACTCATGGCGAAGGTTGTTGGAGGTCTCTTCCTAAAGCTGCTGGACTTCTTCGGTGTGGAAAAAGTTGCCGTCTTCGTTGGATTAATTATTTGAGGCCTGATCTTAAACGTGGTAATTTTACTGAAGAAGAAGATGAACTCATTATCAAACTCCATAGCCTTCTCGGTAACAAGTACGTCTTTCTTATTATTTCACTTTAGTCGAAAATGACAAAAATCCTCCCTTTTAATTGAGGGTTGGTTTAAAATAGTCGTTCAAATATATACTTGAACAACTTTAGTTCATTATGATTGAGCATTCTTTTGTTTTAGTTGGATTTAAAACACAACGCGATAATTATATTCATGGAATTGGCTCGTGAAAAGTAAGTGAGCTGTTTAAACTGAAGAAACTATTTTCAGATGGTGTCAAAAGAAAAATCCAAAGTGGTCAGAAAAAATAGATTATATAATTAACTATTTAAGTTAATTCTTTATGATTTTTCAGTTTAAAGTTTACTCGCATTTCTCCAGAATTAATTCCGTGAATAATAATTGCCGGGTTGTGTTTTAATATAACGAAAAGGAGTAAAGGTACACAATGAATATTCAAGGATTATTTTAGACCAACCCCTAAACATGAGAAACTGTTTTTTGTCATTTTGTTCAACTTTCATAACTAAAGTTCAATTAGTTCAATTAATTAAAATGTGAAGTAACTTGGCATTTATTAGTTACCTTCTTCTTCTTCTTAATTTTCAGATGGTCACTTATAGCTGGAAGATTACCGGGAAGAACAGATAATGAGATAAAAAACTACTGGAATACACACATAAGAAGGAAACTTTTGAGTCGTGGTATTGATCCTACTACACACAGGGCAGTTAACGAGCCTAATACAACTCCAAAAGTCACAACAATTTCTTTTGCTGCTCGAAATAATAAAGATGAAGAAGATCAGAAGGTCAATGTTAAAGGTGAATTATCTGGGCTTAGCCAAGAAGATGAAATTAGCAGCAACAGCAGCCATTTTCAAGAACAGTACTGTCCTGACTTAAATCTTGAGCTCAGAATTAGCCCTCCTTATCAGCAAAATTACCAAAATGATCAAGATTTGAAACCGAGTCCGAGGTGTTTTGCATGCAGTTTGGGCATACAAAATAGTAAAGATTGCAGTTGCAGTAAAAATAATATGGGTAATATTGCAAGCTATGATTTTTTAGGATTAAAGACTAATGGTGTTTTGGACTATAGAACTTTGGAGACTAAGTGAAAGTTATTTGGATTAACTTTTCTTTTTGCCCTCTTGTGCATTTGGGTAAGAAAGGAAAAGAGGATTAAGAAAGACAGAGCTATTAGTTTAAGTTCTTTCGATTTTTCTTTTATTTCTAAAATTGAAAGTATTATTATATTAAATTGAAAGCAGTATAGCAGTGTACCTTACGACATTTATACTAGTAGTATCATTTTGGAGGAATTTGCTGATTAATGGGTCTGCTGTTGTACTTCTTTACTCTTTTAGTCAACACTTTTTGGTTACTATAACATGTTAAATTTTTGTAAGTAGATAGTATAAAATTATTAATAAAAAGTGAGATTAATGATTTAAAAAATAAATTTTTATACATTAAGATATAAAAGATATATGAACGTTGCGTTTTTTTCATCTTCAAGAGACTGATTTCTTTCTTTCCTTGCCTACTTCTTTTATATTAGGTTTTCCTTGTCCTACTATATGGTTCCCCATGTCGATGAAACTTCGTTTATATATTATGTACATTTATTTATTCATTTGACATAGAGAATTTTGAAAGACTCACTTATAACATTTTCTGCTCATCACTTTTTCTTTTTCTAAATATAGACTTAGTAAGCTTTTTGTCTTTTTAGAGAGAAAAAAAAGAAGATTTATTGTCAGAAGTAGGATTGAGAGTATATAGGATCTGTATGTGGGATAAAGGGTACCAACAAAGATTGTGGAGAGTGACAAGTATTACTTTATTTTTACTAAAGATCTTGATTTAAAGCCTTAGGTATATAATTATTTTTGTTAGGAAATGCTTAGGCTCTAATATGAATACCGAACTCCTAATAAAAAATAAAAAAAGAAGTGGATAAAGGGTTGGAGCAATGGATAAGCAGTGAGAGGATGTGAAGAGAAGAAGAGCGGAAAAAAGTGGGTAACCTATCTCTTCCATTCATAATAATAAGAAAAAAAAGAGTGTCTCAAAAACTAATAGATAAAATTGCGTGAAGAAACTAACAAACAATTATATATCCGTAGTACCATTCTTCCACCAACCTAACAATTATTGTCCTAGCCATGACCTAACCAACCATTCCCCCACGCCAAGATTTTAAATCTCTACTTCCATCTTTCTCCTCATATCATTTCACCTTCTCCTTGCAGTATTCACTGCTTATTACATGTACCAAATGAAATTTGTTTATTTAGCACAACAAGTATGGCGGGGTCGTCGATGAATGAGAATCGTTTACCCTTAATTAAAAATTTTGGAATGGAGCTCTGGAATAAAAAAGATTTTGATGGGAAATATTTTCCTTTTTAGTGGGAATACATGCACAAACGTGAATTAACAACCAGTAAATTTTGAACACAGAATGCATAAAGGAAAAAAAGAAAAGAAAATTGATGATTTACTCCCTTTCTCCTAAAAAAACAAGATAGCATATCTTTACAAGTGCGGTTGTTCAGAGTAAAATGTTTGAAAGTTTAAATGTGGTTCTAGAAAAGTGTTGAATAATAGTTTAAATTCTTAAAACAATAATAATTTAAATTAGTTTGACTTATTTGAGGGTTTTTAAAGTCTAAATTTTCCGGGACACGGACCAAAAGAGAAAAGAACAATTTTAATTGAATGGAAAGAGTACTCCGAACATTCACGGCAGATTCAAATTAAAACTGTAAACAATGTCAAGTTATCTAAGGAAATAACTAATTAAGAATTTTTCAAAAGAATTATGACATGAAAATATACTTTTTAGAGAAATCTTCAAATTAGAAGGGTAAGAAGTTAGAAGATGAAAATACAAGGTAGACAAGGATGGTTGCGATTGAGATGAGTGTTCTAAAGATAAGGATTCAAATTTAGTATGATATTATCAAAATTGGTTAACGATTCATTAAAATATCACAATCTATCTTTTTTTCACTAATTTAGAGTGAATCAAATATCAAGCGGCCGCTTTTCAAACTTAAATATTCCACACAAACGTAACGACACCGAGAAAAGGAAAAGTCATCGTTACATTTTTTTTTGTACTCGCGTTGTCTGGATTAATTTATCCGTACTTCGACTAATTTCACAAAATAACTCTATTTATTAAAAATGGGACTTTAAAGCCAATAATTTTTGTCGTGTTTCAGAATACGTTTAACCAATATGTTAACTAATCGAATAAGATAAATTGGGTCGGATTTTACTATTTTTTCCTTCCTATAGTACCTTGACGTGACATGAGCGTGAAGGTTCATTTCTTGTTAGCAAGAATAAGAAAGCAAATGTAGAATCCTTTAAAAATATGTCTGTCATTACGTGCGGCTATCTCCACTATAGAAAGAAAAATTGAAAAAACTATCACATGTGCGGACTAATTCGGGTTCATATTTTTCTTAATTATCTGAAATGTTATGAAGGTAAAATTTTCTTTTTCGGTGTTTAATCTCTAAGTCAAAAGTTTGGCCGAAAAAAAACATGTTATCTAAATAGTAGTTTAATAGTAGCTTAATTCGGGATTTTCGGTACAAGATTTAGTATAGAAATGTCATTGTTTTTCACTTCATGAATATGACAAAACGTAAAATATATCAGATTAAAGTTTAAGATCACCGCATATTAATTGTCTAAAATTGTTCAACGCTCTGTATTTTTATTACGTAGAACTTTTGTACTAATAGTTGGAAGATCCCAATTTTTTAGGTTTCACTTGAGACTTCCATGGGCACGAAACATGCATATTCGATGGTTGTTTGGACTTGGCATCATAGTATATATGTTAAATAGGAATTATGAATTTCGAGCCTAACTTAACATTAAAGGTAGTTAATGAAAATTGTCTAAACTCATGTAAAAAGACTATAATCCATATTCTCACGCCGTGTAGAAGCGTAGATAACTTAATATAAATATACAATATTAAATAAATTAAAGAGATGAGTCGGACTCTAATACGCACGCAACATTGAATATAATTATCGACTATCTAGTTAGTTACCGTGATAAGTCTATTAATAATGCTTCGAAATGTTTCAAAGCAAGAAAATAGGGACAAGATCCCCTCAAAGTGCAATCTAAGGCATGTGTGACAAATCCAATCAAGCAATATATATCATATTCATATTCATATTCATATTCCTCCAGAAAAGGAGAAGGAATCCCAAAAGAAAGCCAAAAATATAAAATTGAAATGTCTCTTCGCACAACGAAAAGAAATCACTTTCTAAACCTATCTACCATCCTCTTTTTTCCTTTCTTTCTTTCCTTTCTTTTTTAATTATGGCATGTGTTAGGTAGAGACATTAGAAGCTTCCATAAGATATTTTTTCCTCCCAATTAGTATACACACACAATATTTTCCACTTCTCATCTCACTCTTTAAAAAAAGAATTGGATCCAAGTTCGTACTACTTACCCCTATCAATTTAATTATTATTTTTATTTGATATTCGTATTGAGATTCAACAAAATCTAGATTTGCGCTAAAAAAATTTCATATTGGGAATATATAAACCACTTTTTAACAAAAATAATTCCATACTAAATACTAGAACCCGAAACTTTTTGTAAGGATAAAAGTATATTAATTATTATGCCACATACTTTGTTGGTACCAATTTAATTATTGCACATCTCTCAATAACCTCATAATTGTTTTTACCTCATACAGCTTTAAAAGTCCAAATTGCGACGTCACAATGTCACATGCATAACTACCCCGTCTCCCCTTTCAAAATTAAAAATATGTGTGGACCCAAAACCTCTCTCTTTTATCCAATCTTTGCCTTCCATTTGTAAGAACTATCGTTCTCCTTATCAATTTTTTTCCTTTTAATAACTTCACAAAAACAGTCTTCAGCATTAAAGAAAATGTCATAATCTTTAGGGGTGTTATCAGGTCACATTTGTGAGGTAATATAAGTATCATCGCCAATTTATATTAGGAATAATGTTTAGATTCACGTCCAAAGAAAAAGGAAACTCCTTAGGTAACATCTTACATAATGGACTAAAATTTTCTTCAGTTTCTTGCGAAGCTTCCTACGAAAGGACACCCCCAAAGGTGACAAAGGAAAGAAGAAGGACACGATTTTCAAAGGTCAAATATATACTCCCTCCGTTATTTTTACTTGGCACGTTTTGACTTTTCACGCCCCTTAAAAAATAATGATTGACATGATAATTTTACCACAATAACCTTATTAATTGATACTCAATAATTGAACCCAAATTTCCAAATAACTTCTGAAGAAAAAATACTCCAAAGAATAAAAGAATAAAAGATGATTTTAGTGGACTTTTGTGTTTAACTAAGGGGATAATGAAGAGTCTCCATAAATTTCAATATTGAGCATTAGAAAGTTACAATTGACCATTATTTATTCAAGAAATGTTGGTTAATGAATTAAGGATAAAACATGAAAAAAAATTATCTTCTCTTGGCATGCGTAAAGTGACAAGTAAAAAATTTATATGAACGTGCGTTACACGTTAATAATGGTACGTTAATAATGGCGCGTAAGCAATTAACATGAAAAAATACAACAATCATTTACAAACCAAAATGCAATATTATTACATTAGTATAATACTTAAATTTAAATTAGTTGAACATTTGCTGAATCTGCATAAATGATCAATTTAGTTAAGTTAGATAATATTATAATGTACTTATATATCACAAATATTATGTAGTTACTGTTTAGAACTATGCAATGTGATTATATCTTGCCTAAGACTTCTTTATAAATGATATTTTTTTTGTATATGTACATTTTTTACTCATTGGCTGCTCCTTCATGATCAGAACCAAGAGATCCTTTGTTTGTTATATACTTTCATGACACTGACATATAAAAGATATGCTGAACTTGGCAATGTACATGTATGGTGGTAGGTTATTTCCTATTGAAGAAGTATATAAGTACTCTTAGTGGTAGTAGTTACGTTGTTGGTATCATCTTCTACTGAGTTAAATTGAGTAATGTTTTGCTTTCATCTGGAAACTTGAGAATCAACATATTTAATTTTGTTAGCTAAGATAATTTTTTTTGTCATATACTTTACATAGCTTTTATTTTCATTTAATGACAAAAATTATTTCCTTATTAAGAGATCTTCACCATTACGATCAGTATTGGGCTTGAGAACTAATTATTCTGGAAGAAGGACCAAATCATGTTTTATTGTATGCAAGACTCCATCTCCGACTCACAGCAAGAAATCACTAAATGTTGGATCTGTTCTTTCT